TTCAAAGGCGAAGATTGATGGAGGAAAGGAAAAAACCGTGGCTGACGGATTGGTAAGATATTAAAAAAACTCAAGGAAATTTGTAATGAATTTATTAAATGTTTTTTAATTTGGGTAAGAAACCGAAATACTGCGAGTGTTTACTTATTTACCAACACGATTGCAACTTTGATTAAAGATTTAATGTTTTTTATTCTTCGGAATAAATAGATTTTAAGATTCAAAACGTTTTTAGTTATCTATGTGATATATATATAATGTTAACATTATGGCTACTTTTTCTAATGAAGAATACGCTGATATACATCTTTTGTACGGGTTTTGCGGGTTTAATGCGATGGCTGCGCGTGGAAAATACATTTCGGAGGGAGCATTTGGAAACAAAATGAAAGAAAGTATAATTAATTGATTCAAAGTTTCCTTAAGTTTTTTATTTTTTTATTATTATTAGTCTTTCCACCTTACCAATCCTTCAACCACGGTTTTTTCTTTTCCTTTATCAATTTCTTCACGTATGAAAAAGTAAATAAAAAAGCAATTGCACCACTAATAAGGATATTAAATGTATTACGTTTTCTGAAATTTACTGGTCTCTAAGTTTGGAAATAGTAGTTTAGAATCACCGTAGTAAATCTTTCAAATTTGAAAAAAAAATTTCACTTATACTTATATCACGAACGTTTACAAGTTTAGTTTTGATCACATCTTATTGGAAATTTAACGTAGGTTTCAATGGTATCAACAGATTTGTCGAAAACCTTTTACTTTTGGAGTTATCATTGTTTATTTGAAGCAAGGTCGTGAAATCTTAAAAAATCAGATAAAGAGAAATAACTCCGAATCTGTTGGGATTAGGACCATAGTTAATTAGGACTTTTTGGGTCCGTTTTGATTGCAGAATCTACTGGCAAAGTTTGCAACACGAGTAGCCGAACAGCCTGTATAGACCACAGGGCAGAATTCTCTGCCATCCAGGGGGTGTAATTTAACTAACGCAACTCACACCTCGCTTTAAACCCCCATCGCAAATCACCCAGATTCAGATGCTGATAATGGTGAGACAATAAATACCAGTGAGAAACAGTATATTCGAGACCGCTAAAAAGGTAAAAACGAATTGATGTCAGAGCAAGTTTCACAGACTCCTCTCGAAGGAGTACAATGATCTTTGTAAGAAGAGAATCAAGATTGATATTAATATTTAAGTAGTACCGGTCAAATTTTCACCATCGACCCTCTTGAACGCTTATAGATACATACTTACGAAACAATCAACATAAAAACATCCACCATCAAACTAAGTAAAAAGAACATGAGGTCAATGGTGAAACATTGAGTACTACCTTACAATTAATTAAGGTTTCTAGATGAGATAAAAAGGTTAGTGGCAAGAGCGGGATTCGAACCCACGATCTTCGGCTAGATACGCCGCCGCTCTTCTACTTGAGCTATCGTGACCTCGATCCACTCGGACACCAACTTCCCATCTCAACCACACCTTTTGAATTTTCTCTCCTTTTTGCCAGTTTTCAAATGTCGTGTAATCAATTTTATTCTCGGTGACAAATGAAATGTCCACGGAGAGCTCTAGTGAAGGTATACTTCATTTTAAACTTATTAACTTCACTAGTTCCATGGTCCGCTTGACCAAGTAATATCTTACAATTAATTAAGGTTATTAGTTAAGATAAAAAAGTTAATGGCACGAGCGGGATTCGAACCCACGATTTTCGGCTAGATACACCGCTGCTCTACCACTTGAGCTATCGTGCCCTCGATCCACTCGGACACCAACTTCCCATCTCAACCGCACCTTTTGAATTTTCCCTCCTTTTTGCCATTTGCTGCGGCGTATCTAGCCGAAGATCGTGGGTTCGAATCCCGCTCGTGCCATTAACTTTTTTATCTCAACTAAAACCCTTAATTAATTGTAAGATATCACTTGGTCAAGCAGACCACGAAACTAGTGAATTGAGTACTACATCGACTGTCGATTACACCAATTGTATATTTGTGAAATATGATGGAGGATTATCGACTATTTCACCACCCCCTTAATTGAATTATCGTTAGATTAGAATTATTAGAAAGATTGACAGAGAGCGTGTCCATGTTGCAAACTACATTCGTTAGATCATCTACGATCTTGCTGTCGATAGTAATGGAATATATTTTACCATATCCAACTTTTCTTCAGATCTTGCTTTTCAGCTCACACCGAGCTTCAGGATACAGAAAAGTTTAAGTGTAAATTGTTGAGCTTCCTCGGCATTTTTTTAAATTATGGTGGAAACCAGGAGCTGGAGAAATAGTTCCCCTTGAGCTCTGCAGCTATATACGGCTTATTGTATTTCTTCCTAGCTCATTTTTGGAACTCGCAACATATGTGTGGATCTACAGCCCCCGGTGTTCTTCTGTCGAAGGGACTCATTTTCGATAGAGACCGAATTCAGGGTCACTGAGATACGAACGCCCAGATCTTCCATTGATGAGTGCCGTATCAATTTTCGTTGTATCCACCGGTCCAGTAAGGCGCCAGAAAAAAGTCCAGAGGCGACGTGGGAATCGAACCCACCACCGCGGTATCACTAGCCGAGAGTCTGGCGACTTAACTCTTCGGCTACTGCGGTCCACATGTTCTTTGTTAAACATGCTAATATAGGTTAAAGAAGTCATTCATGTACAGAAGGTAGACGCTTCCGTTTGAAAAACTTGAATTTACAGAGAAGTAATGATGCCATATCATTTATTAGGCCACACTTAATAGAAAACGTTCGAAGAGTATGATATGAGCTTTTGGTTATTGCAAGGTAGAACTTTTTAGAAATTTTCATTATTTCTTTTTGAGTCTGTTAGAGTAGTGTGGAATTTTTGATATATCATGGTGCGGACCTGTTTGGTTAAAAAGTCAGAAATCAATGATAGGTTGGTAGATTCATGTTTGGATATAACCTCAATTCATATTTGTTGGTTAAAATATGGACCATTGAGACATGTTTCAACATACTTGCCGCTAATTATCATAAAATGATCTCTAAATTAATACGATTCGGGAATGGAGTTTATGTTGGTCGTCTGAAAAATGGACCCGCTACTGTTAAAACGTATACGAGAAGGGGTAAAGCTCGAACGAGCTTTGGGGACAAATTCACCGCTCCAATCATTTGTAGGGACTGGCTCGGCTACAAATCAAATTCCGAGACCGCTTTATTTCCTCCGTTTCGAAAGAGGCAAGGCAGGGTGGCAGGGGGCGTCGGCGGAGGGTGGTATGAAAATTCACGCGGCCCAGGATGTTTCGAGGGGTGGATGGGATTGTTCCGAAGGTGGCGGGGGTCCAATTTCCACGGCTAAAGAATTGGAGGATTTGCATAGTCAATTTGCTGTTGTGGCCTCCGGCGAGCGCGGCGCACATCTCGTTAGGCTAAGTAGCCCACAAGGCCGTCTCCGCTGGCCCGTTTAACCAATCTTCTTCTTGGTCAAAAGATACGTGAGGACGTATCTAAGAGTACAAAACCGCCTTATTTCTACTTTTGAAATGCTTACTCATATACACCCTCACTCGCTCTCTATTTCTGTTACTTTCACAATTTCTTCCTTATCCTACTTGTTCTCCCAATCTCCCTCTCACTATAAAACGCAACAGACACAAACTTTCTATCTGCCACAATATCAATTTCTCACCTTCTCTCTCTATCTCTCTCTACCTATCTATCGCCATTTCTATATATTTATATATCTATGTATCTTTCTCTATCTCTCTTTCACTCTATCTCTTTCTCTTTCTCTCACTATCTCCAGCTCTCGCTTTCGCTTTCTCTCTCTCTCTCTCTCTCTCTCTATCTCTATCTATCTAAATATATATCTATCTATCTCTATCTCTATTTCACTCTCTCGCTCTCGCTTTTATTCGCTCTCTCTCTCTTTCGCTTTCTCGCTCTCTCTCTCTCTCTCTCTCTCTCTCTCTCTCTCTCTCTCTATCTGTCCTAAATAATACTTTTAAAGGAAAACATCTTCTGATTCTCCTCTGAACAGCAGAGAGACATGGCAGATATCTGGAACTTTCTATCTATTGTATAATATCACTGCCCATTTCTCTCTCTCACTTTTTGTGTTTCTCTCTCTATCTCTATATATCTCTCTCTCTTTTTTTAAGTTATGAAAGGTATATATTAAATTGTGAGACATCTATATCTAACATGCCATTCCGTATGTTTGCATTTTTATGTTTTGGCGAATTTTGATACTTAACGTCTTTTTGACATAACTCTGATTTCTTTTTTTTAAATTATGTAAACTTTACTGGTGTCAGTTATTATTTGACGAAAGCGTAAGATTTCTAAGAGATATTTTTAACACTTTTCAGTTTTGCAAGGATTGTACCGGTGTAAAATATAATAAAAGTGCTTATCGTCCGTGAGAAAGTTTAATCGTGGTTTTCGGTTACCGCGGAGTCACTCGGTTCTGCCGGAGATTAAAGGTCACACAAAAGGCTCTCGGCGAGGAAATTTAATTAAAGCCCCCCCCCCTGGAAACACCCCGGAATAACCCTTCATCAGTCTACAACCCTCCAAAGCCCCAATGCACTCAATCCTATCGGAATCACAGATGTATTTATTAATGGCAACCCTAGCCTATCTCAACACTGGTAAATCATTTCCGAGGCAACAAATTGATTATTCCGAGGGACGATTGTTTCACTTCAATATGTAAATCGAAATGAGCTATTCTGAACGCAATCAGTAGAGAATATGCCAAAATATATAAGTGAATATATTTCCACCAGTTAATAACCAATAATGAAATTAAAGCAGGTGCTAGTTAATTAAACAACGTTTCATTGAAATTACAATTCAGATTCTTTATTGTTTAATCAAGTTTAACGTAATTGATTGGGTTGTGCTTTTTAATCATCCAGAACAAACAATAGCGTGGTATGAAAAAAGTGAGTTTATCAAAGTGGACTACTGGTTTCCAGACAACAATAACAAATGAAAACTCACCTTTATTACATTTACGTACAAGTCACTAACGAAAGTAAAAAAATCCATTCTACTGAAGCGATTCCGAACATCTAACCTAGTTATGCAATTGGCAAACAATACTTATAAGCGATAACAGAGATCGCCAATATTATCTCTTCAGCTAGCAGTCAATATAAATATTTCGTTCTTGACAAATTTGACCTTTACAATCGAAATCAAATATACGCACAATTTATTTTTATCGTATTTGGATTACAAAAACTTACAGTTAGTTGCATTAAATTTCGTTATTTGGAAAATTATTTTAGAAAAAACATTATAGAAAAAAGATTTTTAACACTTATGAATTAGATATGATAAGAAATATTTTTTTTAAAAGAAAACATAACGATCAGGTCAAATCCATTCCAGTGGACATCGCATAATCTTTCAATTTCTTTAAACGGATATTCACAAATTCTATCAAATATTGAAACATTTCATTCAAATTTCTCCACATGTTTTGTTGAAGTCGTGAGGAGCGGTCAGGAATGAGGTAATTTATAAAAACACCATTTTCATTTATTTGTCGACGTTTCGACCTTTATTCGGGTCATCTTCAGGCCATAAAGTGTGGTGCTGTTCTTGTGATGTCATATTGGTTTCACAAGAATCTCACATAAAACCAATATGACACCAGAACAATAGCGCCACACTTTATGCCCTGAAGATGACCCCAATAAAGGTCGAAACATATGCAAAAAAAATTAAAAAGGTGTTTTTCTTAACCACCATATTCTTGACCGCTCCTCACGACTACTTACTACTTCTTTTGGTGTCATATTGGTTTTATGTGAAAGTGTTGTTCTAACCAATGTGACACCACAAGAATAGCACAACACTTTATGCCTTTAAGATGACCAGAATAAAGGTCGAAACGTCGGCATAAAATGAAAACGTTTCTTTCCAAATCACCTTATTCCGTACCGCTCCTCCCGATTTCAACAAATTATGAAACTACAGGCCTCTAAGAAACACATTTCTCAACATGATTATCTATTGCTAATATGGAAATCCAGTATAATGCAACAATGCCCAAAAATTTCACGTAATTGCCAAATCATCAAAAAGTACCTATTAAAAAAATATCTATTCAAGCTGGCCAACTGCTCCGGTTAATATTATTTAGGTTATGATTTGGCCCTTTTCTAAAAAATGTTAGCCGATCTCTGGACTAGAACGCATGGCCACGTGTCTTCTCAGTCTTCTACCTTGTATCACAAACAAATTTCGTTGTATATGATATGATATCCGTCACCTCATCTTATTAGTTTCCTTAAACCTAATTTTTTTTGGTACAATAATCCGTTTTAAGCAGTTCAAAGGTGCTTAAAACGAATTCAATTTTTTTACATTATTTTTTCTATCTGCTTACAATAGAAAAATTTATATTGTTTACTGGAATAAACATTTAACAGCTATAAAGGGTGCAAAAAATGGATTTTAATCGCATTAAAAACCTACTTTAGGGATAGGGATAAATGAGACGGCTACAAGGCCTACTGCACTTCGACCTGAATAGATCTACTGTGCTCCTCTGTTAATTATAACTCACTGACCAGCTTCAAGTTATTAACCAGCCTCCACAGCATTCCCAGCGATTCCTTGGTGTAGGATCTTGCTTGTGGTTTTTCTTGTCTTAGTTACAAGAACCTGCACCTACATAGGCCTTCACAGAAACATAAACTGTGTTCTGCGGTCTCCTCCTCTTCCTGGCAGAATCTGCATAGTGTTTCTTCTGTCTATACTCCTATCCGGTGCATGTGCTTTCTTAAGTGGCAGTGCCCTGCTAGGTGTCCAACCAAATTCCTGGTTCGATTGCGGTAAATCTTTTTCGGATGGCCCTTCTCTTCGCGTGCCTCATAACTGTGGTATTATTCCACCAGGATTTGGACTCATTAAGGATCCGTTTTAAGATGTATCCTCTTTTTGGCCAACATGTCAACCTTTTCGTTGCCTATTTTACTAAAAACGTCTTTTGATTTTTGTAACTTGTCATCTATCTAATCTCATTTATCAACAACAATGTTCCATATTATTTCCTTGTCCTAGATAAAAACCAGATCGAATTATATATGAAAATCCTTGAAACAACAACAACAAAGGCAAACAAAAGATTAAATAGATAAAAATGTACATTAATACAGAAAATTTTAGTTTCATTGATGCTTAATTATTAGATTTTTTCCGTATATGCTTAAACATAAAAATTATATTCTCATAAAAGGTTCTATCTTATATATTAATTACCATTAAAAAATTATTAAACGAAATGCGTCGTAAATTTGTCAGTTTTAAATAAATATTTTACTAATATTGTTTTGCCAGACAAAATAAGATGTTTATTGGGAACCTAAAGTTTAATGATTTATCATAAAAACTTAACATAAGAATAAGCAAATGCTTGCAAAACAGTAATGAATTTAAACAATTGTTAAAACTAGACAATTTATTTTAGCTTTAATAAACACTTAATACAATAAAAAGAGATTATTTGAATTAATATTCCGGTCAACAAGCATAATTTTCTAATAAATTGAACACAATGTTCATGTTGTATTGTAAGTAAATATCAAAAGCATTAACATCGACCGATGCTCCGTTTTCAACCCCTTCTTCAGGCGAATTTCCTCTCTTTATTTATGCGAAAATTATTTACTTCAAAATGTTTCCATGGCCAAGCAGAGAATTATAGTGCAACTAAGACTATCGAGTACCGCAGCAATTAGACTGTTTTATAATGGCATTACATACTCCATTGACTGCACACAATTATGCACATTCTGCAGTTTCAAGTTCAACGAAACTTTGGTACACACAATATGGGAGTGCCCAATATATTCGTCGTTAAGGAAAAAAATATTTACAGAATTGTTGTGAAAAGTATGCACCACAACTGCACTGTAGTGACGAGAAATTAATACGGTTACTAAATGGAAACTAATAGATAAAGTAAAAATAAATGATTTATTTTATTTTATATTGGGTACAATGAAGTTGAGAGCCTTTGTGTTAAATGAATGATGCAGTATGCCGAAGGTTCTGTATGTCCTTAATATGTTCTATGATGATGTTATATATCTATAACAATATATAATTATGGTTGTATATAATAAAAATAATATAATAAAATAATTAATAATAATTAATAATTTTTCAATTAAAAATTACGTATATTGTTAATGGTGTTGCACTGTACATATGGTATTGTATTGTAGATATTTTTGGCATGGATAAAGTAATTATGTAAAAATATGAGAGAAAACAAAATGTCCATCCCTTATATATGCGTACATATAATGCTAAAATACAATATTTTATTCTAGTGGATTTAAAAAATTGTTCAAACTAGACAATTTATTTTAGCTTTAATAAACAATCAATACAATAAAAAGAGATTCTTTGAAATAATATTCAGGTCAACAAGTATAATTTTCTAATAAATTGAACACAATGTTCATATTGTATTGTAAGTATATATCAAAAGCGTTTCTAGTACCGACTACAGAAACGATAAAAACTGCCTAAAACCCTGCAAAAGGCTTTGAATACGATAAACATTCAGTTCTCTCCTCTAGATAAACAATATGGAAATAATTATATTAGAATAGTTGTGTTGTTATGTGGTGTCCAAACATTTCCCAAACCTCCTCCTTCCATTGTATTTTCAGCATGAATAATACATAGGCTGAAATGAGGTATGAATATCATATCTAACGAACCGTGATTTTGCTTTGACTAGCCCTCTTGTCCTAATGGCTTTTCCACTGTCGAAGGCATTGTTCTTTCTCCGCCGGGCCTTCCGCAGCCGCTTTCCTTTTTCTTATCCTCCCGAGCTATCCATTATTTCTTGCTCTGATTTATTTTTCTTGACCGGCGGCACATATTGGTGGTAAGAGGGGTATTTTTATCAACGATAAAGAAAAATTAATATAAAATATACTTTATTTGGAAATTTATTACATCACTAACGCTGTTCCAGCCATTCTATTCATTTCTTGCAGGCTAAAAACAAAAACCGTAAACGAAAATCAGTATATTTAATTAAAACAGACAACACATTTTGACTCACATGAGTTTTCAGGTTTGCAACATTCCTTCTTGTCGTTACAACAATTCTGGCATGAACACTTTCCGTCCTTGCAGCCTACAAATTAAAATATTGTCATATTATTGTGTTGTTCTTACACATTAGCTAATGGTAAATGTTAATTGTTGTATTACTCATATATATANTTCGTGGTCCGCTAGACCAATTAATACAATTCAATTAATTAAGGTTTTAAGTTGAGATAAAAAAAAGTCAGTGTCACGAGCGGGATTCGAACCCACGTTCGATTGTATATATACTACTCTCTACTATTGTCACCAAAAGTTACAGATGTTTGTAAAATTAATTTCTACTCCTGTGTCATATTTTTAAATTTTACTTAGCAAGGAAGGCTACGGACTGGGATGAGTGATTTTAATGAAACTTTGTTATGTGAACTAGACCAAAAATATCAAACACGAGTCTGTGAAAATTTTTAACTAGTTAAAATTTTTTTCCCTTGTGCCATTCTTTCAAAATGCAAAATATTGCAACTCACATTCAATACGCATTCACACAAATAAATACATTGACACCTATATGCATTGCATTCATTCTATTTGGTGGATGGAGTACTGGATATTCCTGCACAAAATAACGAACCAATCCAATTGGGGTCAATGGGCCACTTTTATAAATCCGCCATCGACCCAAGTCACACAGGTCGAGAGGCGATGGGATCACCACCATCAGCCCCTTCCCATTCACTCTAATAAATACACTCACAACACAAAAACAAAAACAAATATCTTGCCGGCTATATACAATAAGAAATTCCCAATTCCCCTAATATGCGGAACAGGGCACCCTGAAACTCGATACCGTGTTCGAGAACTATACTTAAATCGGCATGCCTACACGCTCTCTTTATGGAGCCAAGGCTTGTCACGTCTCTATTATGTGCGATACATCGAGCAATCTTTAGCTGCACAAGGGGCGCCTGCGTGGGCTTTGGCCCTTCATGGTTATTATAAATATATAGATTTATTCTTGTATCTAGAAAAAGAACATAATATGCAAGATAGTATTAAATTAAATACAAATTACAAACACGAAAATACGTTATCAGTAAAGCAGGCCAGAAAAATATGTTAAAATATGCCGATTCATTTTAAGCACTCTTTCATTTGTTTTATTATTTAGTAACACTTTATTTTGCGGTCCTGAACAGTTTTTTAATTGTATCCGAAATCATTTTTCATATGAATAAGAGATAAATCGTAATATTATATCAGTATGTTTTGTTCAAGAGCATTTTTTATTGAGAACAATACATAAATATATCGTTATATACATTAAATGTTTGTTATTTATATTTCAAAAAGAATTTCAAACTCACCTTGATGTAACAGTATAATGAAATTCCATATGTAACTAATTGCACTGAGAGGGAAAAATAGTGGCCATCCTATTTTTAGTTAATACTTAAAAACCTCATAATTTTCAAACAAAAACAATTTTACCAAAAACGTTGCTTTGAAAACAATGAAGAAAATATTGAATGCGAAGTATTTTCTCAGCGCTTATATTCGACGTGGCATCGATTTTATGAGGTTTTGAATATAGTGCTGTGAAATATTGTCTACTCATCCAATAGCGCCATTCTTTTGCAAATTCTTTGGCATCACCGGACGACATTTTACCCTCTTTGACAACTTGTCACAAAGGTATCCAACAGGGTTTATGTTGGTTTATGCTGGCCACTTCAAACTTTGAAAGAATGCCCGTTGCAAGTAGTCAGCAACGATCCTACCTGGATTGCCATGCATAAAATAATACCGTCGTTTAATAATAACAGATTTAAAATTTATCGCACAGCTGATAGGGAACCCTCGAAGATCAAGTTTGTGCGACCTTCCACAGAAATGTCTACCCAAACCATAACACAACCACCTCCATACTTCTCCGGGTGAAAATGTTGCGGGGATACTTTCCTGTTCTCCTCCAAACCCTCTCGCGGTCTCACAAGGCCTCAAACAAAACCTTGACTCATCCGAAAGCAAGATTTTAGTTCAATCTAGCTCAGACCAGTTGATGTGATTTCTCGGGAAACTGTTATGTTCCTTGTCAGAAGTTCTGGACAAGTCGAAAGCCTTCTCACACGTAATCCTCCAGCTTCTGAAAGTCTTTTTTCGTATAGTGCGTAAACTGATATTAACATTTCTAACTTGTTGAAGTCGTTGTTTGATCTCAACAGTGGTAGAATGTAGATTACGAAGTATGTTCGAAACAATAAAACGATTATCTCTCTGAAATGCGACACGATGGCGGTGGAAAACCCTTTTGATAGTTGTTTTGGGAATGTTAACCACCTACATACGCTTGACCTTTTTCAGCTTCCAAAAACGTTATAATGCAAGGGTGTCACTTAAAACAATCACTCAAACAAATTGGAAACTTAAAAATGATACAACTTTTAAAAAATCAAACCACCGGAACGTTAAAACAGTAGTTTAATATTATTATTTTTTTAAAATTTGACTATTAAAAGAATAATGACTGTTTTAAATAAACAGTAACAACATTCGTTTTATACATCCATAACAAACTATTACTAAATACAAATGTTTTTGGAACTAAAAAAATATTTTATCAAAGATTTTGCAAATGTTTTTGATTTTTGTTGTTTGGAAAGTGACAGAAAAGGGGATAAATTTGAAAGCACACTACTGTCCGATCGAAACTTCTTAAGGCTTTAAAACCAACAAAATCCTAGCAATGATAAAAAGATTACATACAGTAGAACGTGAGAAATAAAATAAAACGGTTAAGGTGTTTTTGTGGCATTTATCTGTATTTTTATTGTTTTCCTCGATCTTTCTTGACATTCAATTTTAACCTCGTAGACATAGCCCGAAAGAAGAAGCATAATGCTTTTGTTTGAACGTTTATGTTATTGCAACGTTTATGTTGAAAATTTGCAAGAGCATTTTTAGGTGAAAAATCGTACAAATAAAATCAAAATTTTTATTTTTCTAATTTTTATTGCGATGAAAATTCATATTTATGGGTGTTAAACGTTGATTAAAACGAATCATAATTGTTGATTTTCTTTTCTAAACAAAGTGTTTAGGCTAACTTTACTAGAAATGTATTTTTGGTATTGTAACTCTTTCAATATTTAATCTAATTCAATACTATCCTTTGCTCAATTTGCTTACCCTAGATTAACAAATCGAATGGTATTTAATAATCTTGCAACATAAAACCAAGTGCAGAAAAACATTTTCAAAAAAATTTAAATTACTTAAAATATTTCTATCTCGGCTCATAAGGTTTATTGGACAAAACTCAGGGCCAGGTGTGCAAGTAAAAATAATAATTAAACGTGTTGACCTCTAGACAACCACGGTACACCCTTTTTCAATTAGCCTTATTCCTGATGTTTAATACAAAAGTATAGCTGTAATGTTTATGATTGATCACTAATTATACCGGAAACGTTCGTGTATTCATGTTTGTTAGTAAACGTTTATAAAACTATAGTAGTAAAAAACCGGAAAAAATAAAAAGCTTACGATATAATCTTACTTAATTAGATTATTACTACAACTTACAAATAAGCGCATCAAAAAAGTCAAATATTTTTTATAAAAATTGAAAAAAAAAAGTTATCTGATTCTTACAATCTTGTTTTTCGCAGCAGGGTTGTGGCATAGTTGGATTTTTTGTACACCTGTTCACAAAGCAGTTTCAGACAAACTGGGCTTTACAGTGGAGTTCGTTGGCTTATATTGAACGAAAGGTCACGTCATAATGATAACGGAAGACGAGATAACCTGTGTCGACTCAATAGCCCAATTATTTACGGTCTAGTTTTCCTCGTTCGTCGTTTGAAAAATCCAGCCTGCAGTACGATAATAATTGCTATCCTGATAGATTTGTATGACAACGAACCCCACACAGACAAATAGGACGTAGATGAAAAGAGTAACTGTTCTCTTTCCAATCAGGATGTTTCGACTATACTAATTAACTGGAAGTTCAAAAGATTTATATATGTAAAAATAACAACCCGGATACGAAATATTGATTTTTCAAATATTTTTTAATTTAAATATCAAAACTGTTTACAAAAAATGTATAATCGATAGTAAGTTTATCGTAATGGATCATTAGTCGCAATAATACAAAAATATTAGTGTTTATTTTTTGAATTCAAAGATAAAAATAACAAATAAATTGAGTACACAGTTGAAAATAGCAATTGTTATCACTTCAGGATAGCTTTTTATTATTGAAAATATTTATGTCAGATAACAAAAAATGTAAATTTTTTTTAATGATTAACTTTAATTTTTGTGTTCAAAAATACCATACATTTTATGTTATCTTAACGTACAACACTTTAGAGAAAATGACTCTTGATCTATAACAACATGACATACCTTATTTGCTATAATAATGTACAAGACTAACAATTCATTTGCAACCTTTGCTATTGTTTTGTGACAATCGTAAGTTATCTTATAAAAATTAGTAATTATATATTTATAAATAAATGTTATGAGTAGTAATTATTTTATGCAATAAGCAGTCAATTAAAAATAATATATTTTGATTGGATTAACCTGTCCTCAGCTTCTACGCATTACAACTATGTTTCCAGTAAAATATGTACCAATGGTCCGACATAGCGAGTTTCAGGAGGGTTTTACTCGTTAAAAGAAGTATTTAACAGTTTTATGAATCATCGTCATATTTAATGTTTATGTTAGCTCTGTTACCTCAGATATCAGCTAGAGCCTATACAAAGGCATAAAAAATTGTCTTATTTTGAAGTGTTCCCTTTTCACAATGGCATGTGTGATGAGGGATATAAAGGCCTCACAGGTCTTTTCAATATCCAGGAGGACGATATTTGTTTCTTAAGGTACAACCTTTTAGTGTCGTAATTTAATATATGAGCCAATTGGGCTACTGTACTTAGCCCAGAGCTGAAACAAAATTGTTCTTCCTTTTACGAAAATATTATTTTTAATTCCCCAATTTCGTGGTCCGGTTGACCAATTAATATATTACAATTAATTAAGGTTTTTAGTTGAGATTAAAAAAATGGAAAAAAAGGAGGGAAAATTCAAAAGGTGGGGTTGAGATGGGAAGTTAGTGTCCGAGTGGATCGAGGTCACGATAGCTCAAGTGGTAGAGCAGCGGTGTATCTAGCCGAAGATCGTGGGTTCGAATCCCGCTCGTGCCATTGACTTTTTTATTTCAACTAAAAACCTTAATTAATTATTTTTCATATTAGCTTTTAAATTTTTTTACGCAAAGAGCTGAATAAACTAATTGTTTTAAAATTGAAGGGATTTCATGATGATTACCTTGTTTTTTTTTACAGAAATTATCTTTTGGACATTCAGTCCAATGGCATAAGAAAAGCATGGATTTGGAAAGATAAGTGGAAAGGACCAATTTTGTGGAACGTATTTTTTTTTTTTTTTTTTTTTTTGGCGTTATGAACTATGCATATTAGCCATGTGACAAACTCGTATATGTGTGTTCAAATTTGGGGGGTTATTGGGAAAAAAGGGCCAGGGGCAACGGTGGGAATCGAACCCACGACCGCGGCGTGAGAGTCTCTCATGCTAACCACTCGGCTACCGCGGTCCCCATGTGGAACGTATTTCAAACTGCGGTTTGAGATTTGATCGAGTACAGATGATTTTTCAATTTGGTGGGATAGGATGATCTTGAATTTTATTCCCTTGGACCAGGGTGCATTTACGTGAATTGTCGTTCTAAACATCAAAATGCAATCTTATTTTATTTTATTAAAACAAGAGTTTAATTCATGTAAATTAACAAAAGAAATTTACTTTTCGCCTCGAAGGAAACATCTAAAAAAAATTAATTGCCATCGCGGGCGTCGGTGGCCGCAACGGTTTAGGCGTTGACACGGAGCTCATCACTGTAAGATAAAAGTCCCGGGTTCGAATCCAGCGGCCCTGGATGGAACCTCTGCTATTGCGAACCCTCGTAAAAAAAAAAAGTATGTCATTGAAAAAATAAAAACTTTCAGACACGTACTGTAGAATACGATCTTCCTACCAGAACCTGCTTTGATGTTAAAATGGAGTAATTAAAAATTATATATTTTATCTATTAGTAAATATATTGTATAAATGTTATTAATATATAAACATGTATAAGTTCTTAATACCCTGTTTATATAAATTATAATTTTTTAAATGTACTGAAGAGAAGACGCAGTGTTGCTCCAAATTCAACTGTGATAAAAGTATTGAAAAAAAGAAAACAATAATTTGTGATATACAGTGGCATATGAATCTGCTAAACTAAAAACTGAACAAATGCAAAACAGTAATGATTTCTTGTAGTCTTTTTAAAAATTATGTGAGATTATTTTGGCTCTATTGAACAATCAGTACATAAAGTAAAACAACAAGAATAATTTTTAAATCAATTTAACATAATGAATATGTTATAATTTCATGGTAAATCGAAAGCTAATTAAACAACAATTCATTGGCATCAAAGCACACAATAGGATAATGTATATGTGAATAGAAGAGAAACAAGTTAAAGTAAATAAACAATTTATAATGCATAGAATAATATGTGTTTGAACTTTGGTGTATCGGGGCTCACATTTAAAGTTCCTTTCACTTTTGCGTTTACTCCCACTTCTATTTGTACTTTTTGTTGATATTGATTTTCGTTGAAATAAGATATTTCGTTTATTTGAATTTAAATAAGAGATAATGTAATTTAAGGGACTCATATTTAAACATGTTTGCCATGTAAATTTGATTATTTAGATAGAATTTCCCTCGGATTTGTAATATGGGCGTTTGTTTTGATAATAAAGTAAATTAAATTTTTCCCGTCTCCCATGGCAAAAGATTTACACTAGATTGCATCATCCGCTAGCACAGTTGGTAGAGATTACCCAACCTTTTCAGAAGAGATAAGAGAAGATAACGTCATATCTCAAGGCGGTTTGTTTACCGGAATGGCGTGACAACTATGACGTCGCCGGCGGGTATAAATGCGGTCCCTCTCGGCTCAGTCGTCATCGTTTCAATTGTACAAAGCAGCAAACCAGAGCTGACAGCAATCAACGACAATCAGAGCAAAATGGCTTTGCAAACTGAAGGTGAGCTTTTTAAATTTTTACTTTATTTCTGAAGCGAATCAAAGAAAGAAAACATGCTTGACAACATGACATCAAATGCTATGATTAAATTTCGTTATTTGTACATCCCATTAGCCTGAATCGAAATTGTGATATACGTATGTATGGGCAGTACTCAGGCAACAATAAACGTTTATGTTCAACATTATTTGCGTACACATGCACACAAATTCAAACACATCATTTTTTACATTATAAATTGTTAATTTTGTTTTACTCGTTTCACCTTCTATGCAGATATACATTCTCTTATTCTATGTTTTCGTGCCAATAGATTGTTGTTTTTTCATTAGCTTTCAATTTACCATTAAATTACGAGTAAACAAAAATGAATATTTAAAAAAAACATTGTCAATGAACATTAATTTTGAAACGTAAAAATGATTCCATTCATGAAAAATGTAGTCTTCGTACACAGAAAATTTACTGGCCTCTGTCAACTCACAAGAATTATTTAGCTTTGGATAAAAATCGTCCACAAACAATTGTTTTGTTATTTTATAAATTTATCTATTGTTGTTACTGTCTAAAAATTTATTTGGTGATTTTGGTAGGTGAGAAAATTTTTCTCAGGTCATTTTACATCTTTCCGCTCTCTACTTACAAAGTCAAATCACACGGGTTAAAATTGCTTAATTTTCTTTATTTTTTTCCATTCAAATATTTTAATTCGAAAAGCTTTTATAACGATTTTTTAAATAGCATATGATTTCTTTCAGTATTGAAGATGTACTAATAGTAAAACACGTATTATCATCTCCAAAATTTAGTCTAAAAAGTACCATCATTTTGAAAGAAATTCTTTTTTTTATCGATTTAGTTGCCTTGGTATTTGATAACACAATTTAAGAAAATAACATTTATTATCATCAAATACTAAAAAATGTATCCACGTTTCTTTAAATTATAAATTTGAACTTCTATTTTTCGAAAAAATTTTATTCTTTAGAATTAATTAAGGTTTTCAGTTGAGATATAAAAGTCAATGGCACGAGCGGGAATCGAACTCACGATTTTCGGCTTGATACGCCGCTGCTCTACCACTTGAGCTATCGTGACCTCAATCCACTCGGACACTAACTTCCCATCTCAACCCCACCTTTTGAATTTTCCCTCCTTTTTGCCATTTTTCAATTTTCTCCTTTTTTTATCTCAACCAAAAAACCTTAATTATTTGTAATATATTAATTGGTCAAGCGGACTACGAAACTAGTGAATTAACTGAATTTATTCTTTTGTAATCAATTAAATATACTTTTTTTGTAGGATACATTCTTTTTGTTTGATTGAAAATTTATTGAAAAAACAAGAATTCTGGAGAAATAAAACTGGTGTGTGACAATAATTATCAATGTGCGATATTTCAAAAGCCACAGTTTCTTTCGTAGGTATAATTTAACTGTTTTATTTAGGTTTAGATCTAGGCTATTAGGAGTCGGTCAATTTTGCGCACCGCCATCAATTATTTGGCTACTATAAAATTTCCATCATTGTCTTGAGCTTTTCATCAAGCTTAAGGTCTTTACGAGATCTCAAAACTTTCTTAACGGCTTCCGCTACTTCAGGCCTGGTTTTTACTCTCACAGAAGTCAGATCTGCTGTATCGAAGAAGATCTTGGCAATAACTGCACAGACTTGTTTCTGCTGCTCCTTGTCTATGCAGTTCACTGACACTCTAGTCCTAGCACATTCTAGGTTTAGTAATTCTGCCGTAACTTCCACCGATTGTTTTTTAATGAACTTTGTTGAATGCCCATGTCCACGAATTTCCAATTGAAACGAGGAATTCTTCTTCTTTAGTATTCTACGTTTTTGACAGTTTGTTGTATCCCGCAAAACTATTTTGTTTTGGTGTGTTGACTGACTGCTTGGCCAATTTTTTTCTTTACTTGGCAATATGTGCAGAATTGTTTATACTCCTCCGAGTCAATACGGACGCTTCCGAAAGTCTGCAGAGTCCAATCAGCAATATAATTCTAGTCAATACAACAACACTAACAAACCCTACGTTTAGTACTTTTGCTGGTAGTTGATGCGTTGGTCCTGGGACGGTTTTGTAGGCCGTCCTGAAACAACACCCCATTAAACCGAAGGGCTATTCTTAAACCTATCTGTAATGGATCTCTATTTTTGGCAATTTGGTTGAAGCAAAACGGTTCAAGACCGACCGTGTCCTCATCGAACTTTCCTCGTCCTTCTGCCTCAATCTACTCTATCTGATAGTTTAATTAGACAGTTTTCGACAATATGAATTTTGGGATTATGTCATTGATAGTTTAGAGAGAAATATCGTGAATTTTCAACTGCATAACATGCTTTTAAGAAATTACCATTTTTAATAAACGATAAAGTACCCTTGTTAGACGTTAACTATCAAAATAAAAAAATATATTGTATTTTTTGTTTTAAAAATCTATCTAACAATGTATACAATGATTATTCGGAGATCGAGAGATGCGGTCTGATGTGACGTAGGTTTTAGAAAAACATTTTCTTTATCGTGCCAACGTTTCGATCTTTATTGAGATCATCTTCGGGGCTCAATGCGTTTGGTTTCTGTGTAATTGTGTCATGCTTGCCTGTCGTGTTGAGAGTGCCCAGCGTACACAATTTGTGCATACACCATAGTTATGTAAATTACTTAACATTATTCTATTGAAAGCCGTATTTGTAGTGTCGTTTTATCACAATAGAGAATTGGTTTGTTTGTATAGATTTTATATAACCAAACTAAAATTAATTAAATAGTAATAATATTCATGAGTACATGTTTCAATTTTGGAAAGAATAACAATTAAAAAAGATTAATAATTTTGAGTAAAATTGAAGAATAGAATTAATTACAAAATATTTTAAACCTACATATCTATTTTGTAATAATTGGAAAATTTGGTGTTTTTGTTGTAGTTAATATTTTATCCAAAAAATACTTTTACTATGTATGCATGTATCTATAATACATGCACTAAATATTCATTCGAAACATTAATAACCTATTAAAACCTATAGTTTTTCTATAGTTACTTATTTGAATTCACATAATATCTATTATGCATAATAACACATAATATCTATATTACTTTCTTTAATTTTTCTTAAATTTTAATACAGTGTAAACCAGAAAAGGCGTTCTTAACTACACAAGACACGATTCTAAGAAAACAAAGTTAAATAAATGTGAATTAACATTCTAAATTGAATGTATTTGGGAAGAACTCTGAATACAAATGAAATAAATAAATCTAGATAATTTGATAGATAGATATACAATAGAAGAAATACAATGAATCGTTCCTCACCGTAAATGGAGCCTACATTATGTTGTTACACGGTCGTGATTAGATCAGGGTTGACAAGGGGAAGGGATCAAATTCCGAAGAAGAAAATTCATTAATGAAGGATATTATCGAACTAGGGTGTTCATGTCAGATGAAAGGAAGTAGGTTCACCTTCATCACCCAAGGGTTAACTTAATTATTTCCTACATCCATCTAACGTGGTTCTTTTACTATTTATAATCAATATTTCCTTTAATTACTAGTAATCCGAGCAGAATTTTATGAGTTTATTGTATAAAATTTTAGAATGTTACGACTGCAAATGTTACGATGATACCAAAAAGGAAGAACAGTGCAGCCTTTTCAACAAAGGATGTACATTGAGTAAGTTTGCTTGTTTGTTGAGTGAGTTGTTTTATATGTTGATCGGTTTGACTAATTTTGCGTTGTAGCTTGCAAAGGCGGCAAGTGCGGTGGAAAGTGCGAAATTGGAAAAAAGCAATACTGTTTCTGCGTTATCAGCAGTGAGGACGAAGATAAATGTCCCATGAGCAAGTGCGTGCATAAAATCAAAACAACAGCTAAATGTTGCAAAAAAATGGAATGCCCTCATGCGAAAATCGACGACAAATGTATGTTTTTTTAAACTTGAAAATTTGTTAGAATTAATTAGTATTAAAACATTTAATTTAACAGCATTGAATAAAGAAGAAAGCCAGTCTGAGGTACAATGCTGCAAAGAAGATAATAAGGAATCGCCTAAATCCTGTGAAAATGTCAACTGTAGCAACGAAAGTAGTAGTGGTAAATATAAAACTTTCTACAATGAAATAATTCCTATACAATATGTACATATATTATAATTTATATGTTCTTAAATTAAGAAAAGAAGAAATGCTTACGCGGAGAAAATATTGAATTTCACTGCCCAGCTAAAACTGGATTTTTTTCAAAGAAAGGTGATTATAAATATTATTTAATATGGTTTATCTCAAAATACATCAATTTCGAAAGGTTCACATGTATGTTATTGTTCAGGCAACGAGGAATATAAAGAGGCATGTGAGAAAATGGAAAAATGCAGTATCGTCGTCAAATGTTCCAACAAAGATGATTGTAAGTTGAAATTTGTTAAATTGTATTTATTAATTATGATAATGATGATGAAGATCCGTATGAGTCAAAAACCAATAAAACCTTATTCCTGGCCACAATCCGTCTTCCGCCCTCACTATCCTTTCATACTAACCACATCGGGTTTTAGACACCATTGCAACAACCTTTGAGTTGAAGCAGTTCTGCCAATCGTCCTAGAGATCTCTTGTACATTTGACCGGATAGGCAATGCCTTCTGTATCAACTGTAGAGAATACATCTGTCTATTTTTCCCGATCAACTAAAACTTAACCACTTTTTAACTTTGCTGGTGTTCATTTCTTTTCCGTCTTAACCGGCGGTCTTTGCCGTCTCCCGTACTTAACCTCAAAACCTATCCCGTTATGACTTGCTAGTCACTGTTAGTTGGTAAGCTCAACGGCAGGAATCGTCGGTGTTCATATGGAACTGGTGCAACTCCTTTATACACTTTAAACTACCAACCTTTATTCTATCATTTCAATACCATAACTTTTTATATTAACCGATGAAATGGTTATCTTCATCTTTAACCCTCAACCCAAAATTACTCATAATATCATATACTGTACAAATCCAAATAAAATTAAACAAAATAAATAAATATCTAACCAGATCTGCTAGACGAACGTAATCAGCTTCCCAAAAAATAACAAAAATTTATAAACTACAAATTATTGAAACTGCTAAATCTCAAAATATGTTGATGGAACGTTATGTCTCACAATTTTAAAGTGGTTTTTTATTATGTATAATTACAGTATATGTGTAATTACTAGGTGACTGTGAAAACTGTAAAACCGACGTCGAAAAATGTGGCAAAAGTGACAAATGCGACAACTGCACTTGCTGCAAAAATTCTTGCTGTAATGTGACTTCGGATGATGAAAAATCCTGTAAGTAAGAGTTAATAATGTTGCAGTTAAGTAGCACCAAATATAATTTAAACCAAGATCAGTCAATTTTATAACTGCATAAAAACACCAAGCTCTTCAAATATTAATCATAATTTAAATTAAATGATTATTTTGTAAAAATATATTTTGTTTAAACTATTTGTACCTATTTATTTTTACCTTTACCTATATTTTACCTATTTACATTTTCAACTATTTAGTGTTACATTTTAGGTGAGTGTGAAAACTGTACATGCCGTGTTAAAAAAAGCGATGACAATGAAAAATGTAAAGATTGCAACTGCAACAAAAGTTCTTGTTGTGGTGTGGCTCCTGAAGACAAAAAATTATGTAAGTCGAAGGACATAAAAATTAACAAAAATAGCCATGGTTCTGATCCAATTTTATACCGTTCTAAGTGGTGTTTATAGAACGCCACAGTTTAATTTTAATGTAAATCCTCAACTTTTCTAGTTTTAGTTTTAATATAATGAAAACATGTTAACCTGATCAATTCATTTTACACATAAAGTTAATTTTAATTTTTAGGTAAATGTGAAAATTGCAACTGCTGTGTTAAGAAAAACATTGAGACTGACAAATGTGATTGCTCTTGTTGCAAAAATGCTTGTTGTCGAATGATCTGCAAAGATAAAAAAATATGTACGCCTTAACATAAATTCAATATTTAATCCTATTAGAGTTAAATTGAAATTGTTCTGATTATCCAAATTACACAGGTAAGACTAAAGTCTGCTGTGAACAACAACACAAAACCAGAAAGTGCTGCCCAAGTAGTTCGAAAATATCCTTCTCGTTCGTCAGCTGCTTCTAATCAGGAGGGGACGCCCTACGATTTGATTTACTGGGTCTATATATATAGTGATTTGATATTGGCTAATTGGAATTCTGATGACTGTCTTGTAAAATAAAAATGTAAATGCTTGCTCAAAATATTATAAATTATTAACAACCCTTCATATCTCTTTTAAGTAATCTGTGCAAAAATGAATATGGAAATTTGTAAATTTTAAAGAAGTTGTGAATAATGATTTCATGGTTCAGTTGATAAAGTTTACAAACAAATTTTGTGTTGTTTATTAATTATGAAAAATGAACAACTGGAAATATAAAATTTTAATTTATTTTATTTTCTACAACGCATTAACCAAAAAAACGATAAACACGAAGATTACCTATTTTCTTAACAAACACGATTTTTCTCTTTATTCCTTTTTTAATGCAGATTCTGTTTAATCGTGGAAAGATACCACGTTGAACTAGAATTTCACGATATTATTGTGAGAATGAGCAGTCATGGAAGGTCATATGACAGAGGAAGTTGATCTACCTCCGATCGTGTTCTCCTGGGCTCTATTTCGTTACCGAGAGACTGGAAAATGGTAACACACGACCAGGTTGTGGATTACTGTGCGTTATACTTTGTGACACTGGAAGGCAGAAATACTGCCATTATTGCAAGATAAAGTCACATTCAGAGCTTGCCAGATCCTAAATGAAGTAATTATGCCCACTCCCCCATTAAGATGACCTTCAGAGAAATGGCGTCACTGGGGACACCGGACACTAAGGTGCAGCAACCGCCTAGAAGTGCTCATAGATCAAAAAGCTATTATATTGACGTATAGTTGCATTTCAATTTATTAGCGATATTCAGGGTCGAAGAGTTTACCGGGAACCAAGGATGCGTAAAATGTTCTGCTCTCTCCCTCCATCTCTCTCCCTCCCACCCACTCTCTCTCACTCTCTCAATCTTACTCTCTTTCTCTCTCTGTATTTATCTATATCTCTCTCTCAATCTTCTTATATCCCACACACACACACACACACACACACACTCTCACACTCTATATATATATATATATCACTCTCTTTCTCTTTCCCGCTCCCACTCTCTTTTTCTCTTTCCCGCTCCCACTGTCTTTCACTCTCTCTCTCTCTCTCTCTCTCTCTCATACTCTCTCTCAATCTATCTATATTTCTTTCAATCTCTCTCACAATATCTAACTATCTCTTTCTCTCTCACACTGTCTCTCCCTCTTTCACTCCATACTAATTTTATTAAAGCTTTTATTTGTTAAAAATTTATTTAACAAAGCAATCAATTTAAGTTTGTTTAGTTTGTCAACATTTTTAATTATAAAAGCTATTATAAAACCACAGAAAAACGCATTTCTTATCATTTGTGAAATATGTTGATTATTGTATGTAAAACCTTTTTCTTATTAGCATTTATTTTGTTTTAATATTAAATTAATTATGCTAAAATGTAGGTGCTGCGCGGGTGATTTTATAAACGTTTAAACACTTTCCAATTGCTTTTAAGATTCATGACATGTATTGATCTTGATATTCAAAAATATAAACCAAATTATATACTTTTCAAGTTTTTTTAAATAATAATACTAACCTAGGCCAAAAACAATATGTAGACAAGAATGGAAGAAAATGAAGAATTGAAGAATAAGGAAATACATTTTTAGTTAAAATTTAAACGTCGTTAATTTCATGGTTGAATTGGTATTGAAAGCAGTGAATTTTACATTCTGTTTTGGTTAGTTTTACATAAAAAATATCTATTTTAGGTTTAATTCCTTCGTATTTATACTTCTTTTGTAATATCGATCTTTAAAAATTATAAAATTGGGAAACCTTTAATTATTCAGAAATCGTGAGATGCGGTCTGGTGTGATGTAGGTTTCTCACTGGCACTCTCAACACGACACGCAAGAATGGCACAATTACACAGAAGACAAACACTTTGAGTGAGTAGTAATACTTTGATTGAATATAAAAAATAAAATAAAAAAATATATATTTAGCATTGTATAAATTCACTTTTCCACAACCTAAATGTATTTGTTAAATGTAAACAATGTTTGTAAATCCCAGGCCCTGAAGATGATTTCAATAAAGATCGAAACGTTGGCACGAAAAAAGAAAATGTTTTTCTGAAACCTACATCACATCAGAACGCATCTCACGATTTCTGAATAATTATCGATTAACGGTCACTAATCACCACACATTTCTACACGAGAAGAAACCTTTAATGTTAGAAAAATGCAGTTTTAATGTTAAATTGCTCTTTGTTGGGCATCCGCATATAAATATTTTCAGAAACTGTACAATCCGAACAGCATCCATTAGTGTAAAAAAAAATACAATTACAACCCTTCCGAATTAAAGGTAATCATTTATGCGAAAGCGAAGCAGTCATCTCAGTTTGCCGTAAAATGTTTAAATTGTTTAAATATCGTAATATTCCAGCCCTTCTGAATAAAACATTACTCACAGGTAAAATAAAGGCGTTCCGAGTTATTTCCTGATCCCATGTTTGCAAACTTTCTCAGCTATATCTGACTATAAACCAACAACCCAGCGCGAACCGGGGAGAATACAAATTATACATTGTCTGTTTTTACTGCTTGGATTTTCAACAACAAAATAGTTTTATCGATGAAGGCAGTAGAATATAACAAACAATATATACTCTACTATGGTTTACCTTTTTGCTATTTGTTTTTCCACAGTTTTCTTTTAGACAGTTTACTAAATCAATTCAACAAGGATTTAAATTTTTAAAATTATTTGGTTTCAATTCAAATTAATATTAAATGTATCTGAGCTGATGTAATGGAACGAAACGTCTGATATTTTCCTGTAAAATATAATCTAAATATTTATTTACTGCAAAACTGACTTCAATTTTTTTAATGACCTTATTTTTTTCATATGAAAATTTTTTGAGCTAAGGAGGAGGGTTCAGAAATTACAGACGCGACGATGGGAATCAAACCCTCAACCGAGAGGTTTACGAGGCAGACTGATGGGTTTACTATGCTACTTGCCTTTTGGTTTATTAGACTAAATAAAAAAACCCACAGCGGGTTTTGAAGAGGGGGAAACCAATTTTTTCATGTTATGGTTCTTTTATGATTTAAAAAATAAAACATGGTAATTATTTTTAATTTTTATTATGTAGCTGCCATTTTGCATTCGGTATTCATTTCTGGGCTTCTTTCATCTTCTGCAACAGCCTGAAAAATGAAATACTCTTATACTTCAAGCTTTGTAAATTTTCTATAGCACTAACTACCTCCTCCTCCGGGTGAAGCACATCCACATCCTCCACCGCCGCCAGGTTCTAAAAAAATATAAAAAATATATACTCGACAAAATACAAATACTTAAATAATTCAAATATGTAGGTTAATTCACCAGTGGAATTGGTAGATCCTTTCGAATCCTTCTTTTTGTTCTTATTCTTTTCCTTCCTAATGCGCCTCTCTTGATTTTCACAAAGAAATGATTATAATTAAGAATCAGATTAAAACACTTCACACAACTTCAAAAACATACCTCTTTCTTCGTCAGTATCGATTTCTTCTGCAATCAGCCGAAAACAATATTTGGTGTGAGTATAATACAACTACAGTTGGTTATTCATTTGTCATTTTTTGTTTGTGATAATTATAAGCTACATTCACTTACGAATCGCAACACGACGAAAAATTATCCTAAATGATTATACGATTTATTCCATAATGTCTAATACGTTAATTTAATTGTTTTGCTATATATCAAGGGTTCATAACTGAATTCATTCTCAAAATAAAGCAAATTCATCGATTAAAAATCTCGAACTTCGGATATAAGATTCATTTTATTTCATTAAAGCATAATTCAAATAGTTTTATTTCTTAATGAAATAAAATGATATAGTTAGTAATCAGCAAAACGACCAGACATTTATTAGTAGCATATGAAAACCAAATTTAAATCATGTGATTATTTGAAATATTTCATAAATATTGATATTGTTATAAAATTTTGTTGGTATTGAAATCCATGAACTTAAATTGGCCTAATTGGTTACACGTTCACTTTAAACCATAGATTTTATTTAACATTGAATCGTTCAAAATCACATGTATTTATAATTTCTTTTTTTTCACTCTACCAAAAATCTGTAATTATTTGTTTTTTGTTTGCATGTGTTTCTACACTGTATAGGGTTTTTAAAAGAAACATAATATTTTTGAAAATTCATTTTATTAAGTCGAACAATCTAAAAATGGTTTCAAACACGGCTACATCTAGAAATAGTTAAGATAAATAATTTTTAAAAAGGTTTTTATGAAGAGAGTCAAATTGTCCGGCGTTGGCTCAAAAATTTTACAAAACGAGTTTTTATAGTAAAGATTTTAATAGAATAATGAGAATAAGAGTTTGATCGATTGTTTTCAATCGGACTTTTGCATTGTTTTCTCATTTTACAATAGATGTAATTTTTTCTTTAGCTCTAAATGAAAAAGTCTTGAATTAAAAATCACTGATGAACCGTGAAATGGCACAACGTTCTCAATAAAGTTCTTAAATTTAGCCGGAGAAATCAGGTTTTTTTTACCATGATATTACATAAAAGCAGCAAAATATTTTTAAAAAATCCTGTGATACTATTTTTTCGTGATTTATTTCTATAAAAATAAAATAAAACAATAACTTGAGTTAACGAGGCTCGTACAACATTTAAATAGATTATCAAATTTTTTAATGTACAAAAAAAAAACGTATTCCTGAATAAACAGCTTACCTGATTTGCGAGTTTCGTCGCGGCTTGGATTGACTCGTGGCATTGTGGATTGTTTGGAGGGATGGAGGTTGGGTACCTGCTTGCAAGCTACACTAAAATTATTGTGAATGGTGCTAATTGCATCACATGATCAAATCAATTTTTCAATTAAATTGTCGATTGTTTTATCAAATAGAACGGCATGTGGCACAAATGAAATTGAATCAGTTGTTTCTTTACTTTTACGCATTAATGGCAAACGGTTGTGAATAAAAAAAAAATTAAACAAATTTAAACTTTTTATAGACAAAATACTAAATGTTAAAGCTTTTTTCGTTATTTTGCTTTCAGAAAGGGAGGCTACAGACTTCGGATTACAGATTTCAAAAAAAATTTATATGATGTTACTTCATTGGAAAATATTAGATACGTGTTTTATTGTAATCGTTGTTGAAATATACCGAAAGAAGACAAATTCATCTTTGCACCGATTAACCGAGGTCGAGACTCACTTTATTTCATAGTTAACCTGGAAAATAATTGTACAACCCCTTGTAAATTTGGTCTTGTCACTTTTGTAATAGGGGAAAGGTAAATCTGCAATAACGGTCTGATATTACGTCAAATATTACGTTTACACACAGTCACAAGTTTGCACAGGTCTTAAAGGTGAGTACATATTAAGCATTTAATCCCGCGTGTATTTGGACTTGCATGATTGTACCTTCAAAGCAATTTAGGATTTAATCAAATATCTAAAATTTTAATAAGCAGGAGATAAAACCTCTTTTCGTTTAAACTGGTGTAGCTAAGCATTGTGTGTGTGTGGCATGATTGAAAAGAATCACTTTAAATTAGAGAACCCAGCCATAAAGCTCGTTTACATTTTGACTTAAATACGGTTACAGTACGTACACAAGGTTAAAATATGAATATGATAGTGTTTGGTTATGTTTTTGAAATAAATTATTACAAAGACTTTATAAAAAATTAATTATTTACATTTATCTTAAGGTAGAACACATTAAATAATCATTATTTGGTGATCGTGAAATGCGGTCTGGTGTGACGTAGGTTTTAGAAAAACATTTTCTTTATCGTGCCACGTTCCGATCTGTATTGAGATCATCTTCAGGACCTTATGTTTAAATTTTACAAATACATGTGGGGTGTGAAAAAAAGAGAATTTATACAATGCTAGAAATTTTAGATTCAATCAAAGCATTTGTAAAATTTCTCAACTCAAAAAAACTCAATGTCAGTTTCTAGCGTAATATTTAATAAATTGTTTTCACATCCTTCATGTATTTGTAAAATTCAAACACAGTTTATAAATCCGAGGCCCTGAAGATGATCTCAATAAAGATCGATCATCATAACCATTAACTAATGGTCACTAAACATCACACATTAAATAATCCAACTGTGTGGTAATTAACATAATCATAAATTTTTTAAATCGACATTTTAAAGAATAATGAATGCTATAAAGGTCTTCTAAGTCACATCAACATAAAAGCACAACGTATTCTAGTAACGTAGTTTCTACCAAAGGTTCAATTTGAAGCACAATTTTAAAATTAGTTGTTTTCCAACAATGTTTTCATTGAATTTACTAATAACAATAATGTTAAGATATATTTTCATTTGCGTTAATTTTTAATTTATTGCTCTATTTCTGTTGAGAAATCGTGCCAACTCGACACAATATATATTTTTTTAATCTGAAAATTATAACTACCTTCAATTTGTTAAAAAGACTGAAATATTATTTGGAGGTCGTCAGTTGCGGTCCGGTGTGACATAGGTTTTAGAAAAACGTTTCTATCTTTATTGAGATCATCTTCAGGGCCTTGTGTTGTCTGCATTTCAACAAAAAAGTTCTCTGGTTGATAGTCAATGCAACTTTCTTTTCATTATATTAATTAAGGTTTTTAGTTGAGATAAAAATCAATCTCACGATTGGACCACGAAAACTAGTGAATTGAATAAGTTAAAATGAAGTATATCTTCGCTAAAGCTCTCCGTGGCCTTTTCAATTGTCGCCGAGAATAGAATAGATTACACGACATTTGAAAAATAGCAAAAAGGAGGGAAAATTCAAAAGCTGGGGTTGAGATGGGAATTTGGTGTCCGAGTGGATCGAAGTCACGATAGCTCAACCAGTGGCGTATTTAGCCGAACGTCGTGGGTTCGAATCCCGCTCGTGACATTGACTTTTTTATCTCAACTAAAACCTTAATTTATTAAATGATATTAATTGGTCAAGCGGACCACGAAAACTAGTGAATTTATTTTCATTGTTGGCGATGTCACAATGAAAAGAAACTTACATCGGCTATCAATCAGAGAATTTTTTGTTGAAATGCAGGCATCACAAGGCCATAAAGATCGAAACGTTTTAAGGCTAAAGAAAATGTTTTTGTAAAACCTGCGTCACACCAAACCGCATCTCACGATCTCCGAATAATCATTAATTAACGGTCTCTGAACACCACACTTATAAAAATAAAAGTAAAGAAACTATTAATTGGCAGTATTCCAATTACTACAACGTTGTATAATTAATTGACAGTAGTGTCACTATCACTGTCACTAGATAAGAGATCCCGGTGCCATCGTCGACTTTTGTCGATGAAAGTTTCTGATTTTGAGGAATGATGTTGGTTAAGATGGTTCAATGAAAGCTGGAAAGTAACTGGAGCGTATTTTATCTTGGACGAAAGGAATATTTATGTGTAATTTTCTTGGACACGTAAAGTGAAGCACCAGGTATTTTTCTAAAGATGGGTCTGCTGAAATGCTGAAGATATTGGAATGTTTGGATCAACCTCACACTTCATTTCAGTATGTCCATACTGAGGTGTTATAAAGAAGCGTTTTATTTGAGAAGTTAAATCAAAACGTTCATTAAGAAGTTTCGTAAGTTCTTGAAGATTTAGATGTGCGTGGAAATTCCACGTCAAACATTTGCCTACGAACTTTGTAGCTTCTCCGCAGTCGGGAGGGGGTAATATTGAAATAAACCAGAGGAGGATCTTTTTGCGGGGAGTGATGTTTTTATGGGTGGAATTTTCCGAGTTAAAATTTTTTTTCCACACAGGACTGTAGTAGAGGGAAGTTGTTTTATAGGTTTGATTCAAAGGTCGGAATCAGAATTACTTGAGAAGATCTGCATTGGTCACAGTGTTGGTTTGAGGATCGGATGTCAGCTGTGTATATTAGATATAATCTGGGGCTAATAAGCTATCCAGAGAAATACCAACTTGGTTAATGTAATAAGCAGAGAGGGAATTGTCTTCAATGACTCGAAAAGCTTTAATCATGAACAGCAAACCTTGGTGTTAAATCTGACATGTCCAGAAAGGTCCCATTAGCAGTACTACCCAACTCAAGGGAAGAGGACGTAAGGAGTTGGGAAAATCAAATTGATTGTCAGGAATTACTTTAGATCATTTATGAGAGAATTATTTTTAATATGAGCTTTTCTAAAATTTTTCCCAAAATGGTTAATAGATTTATTAGTCTATTTGGGTGTTTCATAGCGAAAAGTGTTACACAAGAGAAACTTAGTTGATATTGCTGCAAATATAGTAATTATTTCTTGTAACGTCTTCCTAGAACTAAACAATAACAGTACTAAATGTTACTAAACTTTGTACTGAAAAATGAATTCTTCGTGTAGGCAAGCTTTCGTGCGATCGGGTGCTGTGAAGAAGGGCGAAGAATTTCTTATTTTAAAAAAATAATAGAGGCCCACTTATCTAGGAAAGGATGAAAGACTAGATTGCACCGCCTGGACAAGGGTGGGTGTGACTTGCGTGCTCGGGGGCAGCGGGGGTGGAAAACTGCACCCTCCTCACAGTCTCTTCCTGGAACCCGCTGCTTCCCAATTCGCTTCTTTAGGTGAAAAGTACACGTGGCATTTCACGTGTTCGGAAGTGGTGTTGTGATAAAACCCTGTGACGGCGCTGTCTTCTCTACCGAAACCTGTCTCTAAGGTACAGCTTTCATTTTTTCACCTATAATTGTCGTTCTACGTATCAAATAACATTAAAACATAAGTAAACATAATAAAATGCGTAATATGGTTTGATTCTGCATATAAACTAAGCATAAATAAAGTCTAAAAAATATTTTATTTATTGTACAAACAACTTTTTATTATAACTATTTCAGGTAAACATAATCTCACAATTAAAGCAGTTTCTGCATATGCTTAAAAGCGAAGCATAAAACAACAAAGCACATTCCATAAATAAAAAAAAGTTTTTATATTAAATGATGATTTGTGTCTGCCTGAGAGAACTTAATAATATCTGCTGGTGTACTATAAAGTTGTGTTTTATATATCGAGACAGGCATATTGCCCTTGTATATTAAAGTGTTTAATCAGATGCTGATATATGATTGCTTGATATATTTTCCTTACAGAAGCATGTAAGTCTTATTTATTTTATATCATAAGAACATGCAACGCATTTGTTTGTAACAAAAGTGTGCAAAAACTTAACAAGAACTAAAAAGTTGATGCTTGAATCCAGCCTAGATACAAGTAAACTAATTCAAGATGTAGATCAGGATATGGTTCAATTCCGAATCTACATCTATAATTAAAAACTGCTAGTAGTAAACTACATCCTTGCAATTAAACAACATAAATATCTTCCAAACTATTTGTTTTATTGTATGAAGAGGATGGTGAGATGTAAAGTTGAGGTTTTTTACACCAATCTGTGATTATTGTGCCATCTGGTTGTTTTATTACGAGGGTATCTAAAATGGTATTGTTTTCGATTTCATGTCTAAATTTTAAGCGCAGGTGAAAGCTGTTAAATTTAATTATATAGTAATTATATAATATCATTTTTAAAAGTAAAAACCAAGTAAAACAATCATCACATTCCGTACATCAAACATTTCTACACAGTTTAATTCTTTAACAATTTGGTTTTCCTTTCCCTAATTATGCCCCTGCATAATCCGGTAAGGACCATTACTAATGTTTTTTCCCATTGTCGGCTACTTTCACATCAAAGAAGCCGACTCCTCAAATAAAAATGTCTTTCTATTCCAATTTCCTTCCCCACCTCCTTCAAAATCCAACGTATATAAACATAAAACAGGGCTGGCACTCTCAACACGACTCACAAGATGACACAATTACGCAGAAAACAAACACTTTGAGTGAGTACAAATATTTTCATTGAATATAAAAATATTTTTTTTTATTGCATAAATTCATTTTTTTCCACTACCTACATGCATTTGTTAAAGTTAAAAAATGTTTGTAAATCCCAGGCCCTGAAGATGATCTTCGATGATCGAAAAGTTGGCACGATAAAGAATATGTTTTTCTAAAATCTACGTCGCACCGGACCGCATCTCACGCTCTAAGCTAATCAAGTGGAAAATCATTACGCTTTTGCTATGGCGTTCTTACAAAATTACTGAACTTTAGAAAAGCGTATTTCTTCTTTTGTAACCAAAAAACATTTTCTGTTAGAAATGTAGATAATCTCTCCAATAGATTCAAGTTCAGTAGCTAGTCCCTGAAAAATCCCACCATGGATATTTCTTTTGAATCTTTCTTCCCTACACACAAGGAAATTGATTTTTTACAGTTCAATTGGATTTAGTTGATTTTCCTTTCTTCAAAACAAAGAATACATTAAAAATGAAATCATTCCGAATTTTCCGAAAGCTTTAATACAATGTATGAGAAGGAATGGATAACCGTGATGCTGCACGTGCCAATTTATGTAAGTAAAATAACATGCGATTTACCTACTTTTCTGGCACATATATTTATAGTAAGTAGAATCAACTTCTTCTAAGCCTGCGCATTACTTGTATTATTTTTATTACACGTTCGAGCTTTTGAGATCAAAGTTGAAAATGTTTAATTTGTGTTCTCCATTGTACGCCTGTCGGTCTTTCCCAAGCAATAGCGATATAGAAAGTTTACAAACGTTAACTCTGGGAAATAACTCGCCTTAATTTTACAAGAGAATTTAATTCACATGAAATACTTCGAAATTTTAGAACTTTACGCATTCCAAAACACAAATTAGTTTCTGCGAGTGACGGTTTTTTCTAAATAGCTTCAAACGATTGTACTTTCTTAATTTAAAATTTAAAATCATTAAGTGGTCAGCGTCTCAGCAATTATAATTATGTCCTTTTTAGATGGCCGAGCTGAATTTCTCTTGAACCAGTGACGATATAAAAAGGAGGTAACTCTGCCTAATATGAGATGCAAGTTCACAAGGCCATTAGAAAAATAATGAATGATGTTGATATTGTTTTAAGTTTAAAGTGAAAATATATTTGTAATATATAATTTTAATAGCAGACTTAGGGGGGCGTCGGTGGGCGCACGGCGTTCATCACTGTAAGGTAAATGTCCCGGGTTCGAATCCAGGGCCGCTGGTACATACTTACCAATGGGCTTTATCACAAACACCGGCACCTTGAGGGTTTATATGACCTCTGACGTTGCGAACCCTCGTAAAAAAAAATAGCAGACTTAGTTTATGATTAGTGCTTATATTCATTGTACTCTATCGTTATAATCAGATCTGTCAACTTCTCTTCACCCCTTAAATTGCGGTAGATGAAAGTTTAATTCTCAAAAAGAACGAATCACAGTTTTACAGATAGTAGTGTAGGACAATCGTAGTGCATATCTACATAAAAAGCTGCTATTTTGTGCTTGATTGAGAAGTACACACTTTCTAAATGAGTTGATGATGTTGTAGTTGAGGTTAATTAAGAACTTGCAATGCAGTTTTTTTTTACGAAATTCCATCAAGAACACCACTTATATTATAATCCTTTGTTGTTTTTGGCACAAGGAAAACCAGTTGTAGGTTGGCGGTTGTTTTCACAGATACATTATCTTCAAAAGATACTATGGTAAAATTTTTGAGTTTTCTCAGAAGATTTTAACATAAATAAAATCCTTGCTGTGGAATGATCAAATATTCACTATTTTAATACTATGCTTGTGTTAATTTGTTTCAGTAGGGCCATTTTATTTATTCGTTCAAAAGTTTTGCTACTTTTATGAGGTTGATACTTAAATAAGTGACTACCTGGCCAAGAGGTTTAACTCGAAAATAAATAATATGTGAACTATCGGTATTGTGATTTTTTTTATATTAGCTTGCTTTGATTACGTTTTATTCAGATTATATTTTTCTTGGTTTCAAACAGTAATTATTGCACTACTAATACTCTGAACACAATTCAACTTTGATGACTCACCCTTTTTATAACCCTTAAGCTGTTCGATCTGACTATAGATTAATTCGTTTATGTTCATTTTTCAATTTATTTTGTTTAAAGGCGCTGTTAGTTATATTTATTCTTAATGATTTCTCAATGATCTGAATTTTAGTAAAACCTCATATATATATTGGAATTTTTCCCCCCTGACGAGACGTTTTGAACTAATAGTAAGCTTAAGTTAAGACAAGAGAAAGACTGGATCTTCATTGAGCCGAAGGTGTGATTTTCCGATACAGGACCAACGAGCTACCCACTTGGATCCTGGGGTGGGAATTTTTGATCCGGTTAATTATCGCACTCGTTCCTATTTTAATACGGAACATGGTCAATTCATGTTCATTTTATGAGGAACAATCAACCGGCATTTTTTCCTTTATTTTCCCTGTCACTTTTATTATCCCGCTTTACTGCCCTCTCGGCCATATAATCCTTTTCTTACGTCTTCTTATTTTGCAACGCGGCTCTATCCTTCCAGGCTTCACGTTTTCTTTTCAACTCGCTGAGAGAGGAAATTCGGAGAAAAAATTCACTTCAGTGTTAATCTCTTTTCCTTAATTTTTTTTATTTATAAACTATATCTCATGTCAAGGGGAGAATTTTTTAATACGCAGTAACTAGATGTAGATGTAGAAGTAATTTTTCAGGGTATAGTATACTGTGCCCTTTAAGAGCTATTGTATCCCCTGCTATTGTACTCTGCCTAAAACACATCGGTGATCCTATTTCATCAAGAAACTTGATTGTAGGCCCGGTTTCACTGGTTGAAGCTCTTCTATGGTCACATTATACATCCCAAAACATTTCCTCCTGCGGGCTAGTGTAACTCGGCAGTTCGTTAGTAGATGTGTTGATGTCTCCTCTGCCACTTTGCAGAATCTGCATGTGCCATCTTGGATATTCCAGTGTTTTTTAAGTGTCCATTTAACTTGCAGTGTCCTGTTATGAATCCTATTAGGATTCCCAGTTTATTTTTGCTTCCCTTGTTACAGTCTGTAATTTCTTTTCTTCCAAAATTGGTTAGAAGATTCTTGGATTGTCTGTGTCCAATGAGTGAATTCCATAGTTCCCTCATTTTCTTTTTGTCCTTCTGTCTGAGATATTCGTTGATAGTATGGGTTCCTATGCCACAGAAGGGTTCGGGTCCTTTCAGCGGTGTAGCAGCTCCTTGCCTTGCTCCTTGCTTTCTCGTTGCCTTCTCTCTCATATGTTATGGGACCCAGCAAAGGCTGTCTTTGTTCTGCGTACCTAATATGTTTAGTTTGGTTTTGCAGTTCAGCTCCATCCTTGAACAATGATATTTGAGCTTAGTGCTTCGATGGCTGCTTGGCTATTTGACATGATAGCTGTATTCTTGTTTTTGTACGCTTTACTTAGGTTGAGTTGGGTACATCTTTCGATTGAATGAATCTCAGCGTGAAAGATACTGGTGTATTTTCCCATGGGTTCTGAGTATTTGGTTCTACGTCCAAATACTTCTGCCCCTGTACCTTCTTGTGTTATAGATCCACTGTGTACCCAATGATGGTGCCATTCTTAAAATACGTGTTTCCCTCTCGTTCCCATTCTTTTTGAGTACCTAGGTTTAATTGGAAGTTTTGATACGCAATAACTAACTCTTATATTAAGCTAAACGATCGAAAATACTTTTCAATAAGTATCATCAGTAGATAGCAAAAATTGTAACACGTATAAAAAGTAACATATGTGC